AAAGAATAAACCGGTTTTGTTAAGTGGGGACTTGTGTCGCTGAAGTTTCGTCGGAACGAAGTTACGGAAAGTTAACTAACAAACGGAGACGTAACAACTCATTTAAATTACTTAGTATCATTTCAAAGTTTTGGTTAAAAGTTTGAAAGCTGGTGAAGCATTGGAAACCAATACACCTAATATTTGGGACAAAAAATACATAAACTACAGTTGTTGTTGTTTTGCACACTCTTCTGAATGTCTCCATTTCGGATTTCAAAACAAGGGTAAATTAAAAATAAGAAATGTATTTTTGACCTATCTTTCGTCTCCCACTGACAAGTAATGAGGTATGTTTCCGTCATAGGCTTCCCACAGGCTACTTACTGCCCATGAGGCCTTTTGTTCAATTCAGAATTCGTCAGCTAGGCTGAACAATGAGAGACAAGAATTTATCTGAAACGCTACTTATATATGCAGTATAATTTCCCAAAAGGGGCTGAAGACCGCCTGGAAAGGTCACTTGTTTTACTCATATGTATTACTTTACAGTAGTGTGTTGTCTGTCAGTCAGTCAGTCAGTATACACTAAAATGACACCACATAAGGGCTATAACGTTGCATTTTGTACAGTTATGATGTCAGTAAAACGTGAGCATAACATGAATCACGAGAAGAATTATACACTCTGTAGGCTACAGCACAGCATGACATATGAACTTCAAAAGCAAGAAATAAAAATATTTGTTACTCTTAATTTTGGTTTTATTTACTGTTGGCGAAGCATTGGAAACAGTTAGGCTTAATATCTGTGATGAAAAAAATACTTTAACAAGCCTAGAAAAGTCTGTAAATAATTTACCACGTTCATCCCCTTTTTAAAAAGTTAGAAAATATCTATATTTATTTTCAGAAGAATGATAGTATGTGGAATTTTTCTCTTGAGTTTTTGTTGGATATATATAAAAATTCACGAGGTCACACTTTGATGGAATGTTTAAAAACCTTGGATGATTTCAATGGATCAACAGTCACTCTTTCTTCCATCTTTTATTCCTTTATTTCCCATTACTTCTAATCAATAATCCCACATTGAGCCAGCGATATTTACGATCTTATAACGCTAAAAATCTAGAATTCGATTCCCCATGGTGGACATTATGAAGATAGCCCATTGTATAGCTTTGCATGAGAAAACAATAACCCTAATCAAAACATTCGTTGAAATATTGTAAATTTAATACCATTTACTGTCCAATATTTCAGTAGCCACTTCCTTTCCAGTGATTATTCAAATATTCAACGTGGATGTTGTTCTTAATAACTGGGCCCGGCATGGCCAGGTGGATAAGGCGCTCGGCTCGCAATCTGAGGGTCGCGGGTTCGAGTCCCCGTCCCACCAAACATGCTCGCCCTTTCAGCCGTGGGGGCGTTATAATGTGACGGTCAATCTCACTATTCGTTTGTAAAAGAGTAGCCCAAGAGTTGGCGGTGGGTGGTGATGACTAGCTGCCTTCCCTCTAGTCTTACACTGCTAAATTAGGGACGGCTAGCGCAGATAGCCCTCGTGTAGCTTTGCGCGAAATTCAAAAACAAACAAACAAACAATCTTAATAACTGGAGTTAAAGAAAATAAAAAATAAAAAAATTGACGAGTAATATAGTTCTCAACGCTTTAACTAGAAGAGCTATTTTCTTTAAAATGTTATAATTTCGTATTTTTTCAACATCAGGTATAGATATCGGTGTTTTAGTTACACCAGATATGTTTTCTTTAAATTCCCCTCTCCCCAAGAACTGACAAGCATTTAATAGCTTTTCGTTTTATATTTTTGATTTTAGCGTGATATCTATGTAAATTTTCCACAGAGGTCTCTTTTAGGAGTCTATACTCTATACCACAGAACTCCATGTACTATCATTACTAGCAGTTCGTTTTGCTCTAAACATAGAATTTGGAATTTTTTGCAAGCGAACTGTGTCTTGAAAGCAAAAGGTGAGAATTCTTCATGGCTGGGTCAAATGTTTTAAAGTTTGGAGCTCATCTCAAGGAACTGAGATTGCATCTTTGTCAGAAGTCAACTCATAGCAAGGGTGTTCGGTAAGAGTGGCTTAATTGTACTTTAAAAATAATTACACTTTACAAATTACAGTAATTTGTGACAACTGGCATCTTTTAATTTCTATTTATTTATTTTAGAATAGAAATTAATTTTTAAATTTAAGAAGACTAAGCACTAAAGAAAAGCCATTTATGCAATAGCGTGATTTGGGCTCATCATTGCCACTCCTTACTCGCACACAACAATATTAATAATCAACTTAAACATCAAAACCTAACCACACTCAATTCTTTACATTCATATGTTCATCCACTAAAACTAAAAGTTTGAACTTATTAAAGATAGTTCAAACTAGCACAAGCATCACATTCACACATCACTTATGTGGCAAACTTAGCATAAATTTGAAAATAGTGCCTGCTGATTTTTGGTATCACTATCAGTTAGGTTAGGATTACTATAGAATGAAATTGTGTAGTATCAGTTTTAGTGTTATTTACATATCAAAAAGTTTTGTGCCAGTAGACATATCTCGTTAAAATTCATGCTCATTGTTCACTTGACTGAAGTTAAAATTAAATTATTACATAACCAGTGCAAATAAAACTTTGAAGAGATAATGAGCATGAAGGTGAAGCACAAGAAATTTGAGAATTTAAACAAGCATTCCATATTTTATCATCATAAGGAAAGGAAATCTCTTTTTAATGTAATATTGTGCTAAGTGTATAAAACTTTTTTCATTAAATGCTACATGTTATAAAATCATATTTTAACTTTAATAAGAGTTTTTCTAAAGATGTCTTTAAAAAATGCAAATCAGAATAAGTTATGCTGTTTATCATGCACATTGGATAACACTAGCCCATTTCAATGGTAAAACAAATACCACATGCACTCAAGCTTAAACATCTTAACATTTCTAATGTTATTAGCATCACCAAAAGTGACTATCATTCCTGGATTTTACTTTTAGCTGGGTGTCATGAAAAAAGTTTATTGTGATACATGATACGATTTTGTCATGAATTTGTCCCAAGGTCTTGGATATGTCAGTCTCATGAAATAAAAAATATATCTCCTGGTATTTGTAATGATAGAATATTTGGCTTCAAGTTTTCATGTTTGCAGCATTTTCATCTTGAGCACTCATGTAACCAAGTGTAAAATGTACAGATGCACAGAACCTCATGATCCCTTCTGAAAAATTCTTAGTCTTTGACAGATTTGTTTCACAAAGAAATACATGTTATTCAACAAATTCCATACTCTCACATCCATGTTAGGTAGTAGTGTCCTGCTTTTTCATTTACAAAATCTGGTCACCCTAGAACTACCCATAAATTTTTACTTCCCTACTAGTGTAAAAATTTTTCTCCATTAGGCTTGTATGATTGGAAAGCCTACATATTTTTGGTAAATTAATAAATTCTGTGTGTTACCATTGACTAAGTTTAAGTAGTCACAAGTGTATTTAATGCAACTACTGAATCTGATTATGCTCAAGATTGTCATGTTTGATTTAGCAACATTGAATATATAGAGAATATTTTATTAAAATCCTTATATATCCATTTGCACATTAAAATTAAGCATTACAAATTTTAGTATTGCATTTTTGCATAAAGTTAAAGAACATTATTTGCATCATTCAAGTTTTTAGTTGCTACATAAGTAGTAAATGACTGTGAAAACATTACAGAATTACTAAAAGTATTGGTAGATGGCACTGAGCAGGCTATGAAGAATAAGATAAAAAAAGTTCTATAATTAAATGTTAAAGTATTCACAAGGTAGTCATTAGGTTTATGATATTTTTTTTTTATTAATAATTTTGGAATTATGAATATCCAGTATTTAGTTTAGAAAAATTGTGGAACACCTAGGTTTTGCTATGTATTCCAAATGTTAAAATCTAATAAAGGCTGTGCAATCAGGAGAGTCTTGAGAGACCAACATAAAAAAACAGTTTTCTTGACATACAGGAATAATAATGAATCTTAAAAGTAAACCAGGATACAGGATTGTTAACAGTAGAATAACATGATTAATATGTGGCATGGTTCATTAGAGAAGATATTATACTGTTAAGTTGAGTTCTTTTAAGACTGAAGTCAGATTATTTAAATATAAGGTTTTATTATTTATTTTATTAATCACGTGGACATTCCAATGGGCTAACTAGCCTTAATTATTATTATTATTTAAATAACACCCCACTCTCCAATTCAAAAGCATGATTGCTTTCCAAAAAATGGTCTCTTTTTTTTTTTCCATTCGGAATGAAAACTCTTGAGTAATCAGTGGTGATTTGAAAACTTCATGAATTTCTTGTGTGTTCTTCCCACATACATTCAACCTACTGATATAATTTTTTTCATTGACAACCCTATGTAAACATTTACATGTATGTAATGATGTTTATACAGCTTTTATTGGATTGAACTAAATTCTACTTGTTACTGATATTAATACCAATATTTGTCTTAAAACATGTTGTCTTAAACACATTAAGAAAATGTTTGTGAATCTTGGTTAAATTTTGGTGAGCAACAATTTGATAAAATTTTGAACTTGGCAATAAAAAATTGTCTAGTCCCCACTTTAAAAGCCAATTTTGCATGTAAAATCATTTCCATAATTTTTGGAAAATAAAATATTTGTACTTGCTTTTTTAATTCCTTTTAAATATTAAAGGATATTTACTTATGATGGCTAAAGGTCATTTTTATCATTCGGATGACTAATACTTCTACTTGGTTGTTAAATAGTTTATTACAGTTATTTCTTTGTACATTTGATCTTTGTTTTCTTTGTATACTTATTTTGATTGCATCTTTTATGCTAATGTATTATTTCAAGATGCCCATTTTACAAACGTTTATGATTATTAAGTATTGTAACAAATATATCTGTGCAAAGAAATATTACCAATATATATATATGATCTGCATTATTATCTTATTTTCATATGAATTGGAACAGTATGGATTAGATGTGAGGCTTATATATGTTGTCTATGAAGAAGCTTTGTTATAATTTTAAAATATAGTTTATGTTCAAGTTATTACTTTGAAATATGATTGCTGTTAAACTTACATTATTTCAATTAAGTTTAAACATTCCCAGTCAGTTGATGGGTATTTCAACTTGTTTAGCCCTATTACACAAATGTACCACTGCAAGCGAGGATGTCAACCAGTACGATTTACAATATTAATACTAAAAGTATTGCACTATGATGTATGTAAAGGTACAATTTTATTAATTAAAAGTAAAATATTCAGGAACATGCTTTTATTTCTGATTTATTCTATAGAACACTAAATTTTTTGCAGTCTGTGTGTATACATATTATCTAAATAAAAATATACTCTTGAAGAATACTTTGCAAGAAGAAAATCATTTCCTAAGTTCTTTAAATATAATTAATAATTTGTATCAAAACAGCCAAAAATATTTCATATAACATAAACTTATCCCAGTATAGTCTTTATTTAAAAGCCCACCAAGCTGTCTGGTTACTCATGCAAGTTCACATTAATAACAGATGGTGACCCTGTTTTACCTCTAACTCTAAGAAATAATCCAAGTGGTGACAAAGTCAACAAAATTTGTATACAGAATACAGCATGAAGCTCCCAGTAATTATGTAATCAAACTAATCAGAATATCCTCCCTTATTCCAACCATATAAGTCATATTTTAAGGATTCTTCCAGAGTTGGAGATGACATTGTGAAACACACAATAATTAGACACCACTTTACTAAAGCAAGTGCTGTGTCTTCGTGAAAGGCAATCTTCTTTAACCAAAACAAAAAAAGCTCTCAACTATACAAGCAGAGATACCTGTATATTCAAGATAATGTTGTTTTCTCCCATTATTAAAATTATGAATTTCTGAGAGAAAGAAATGTAAATGTTAGTTTATAATTTGATTCACTACTTGGTGCTGAGTTAGACTGGTTTATGGGAATTTCATTTCTAACAATAACCATATACAAAGGAAAATCAAGATTGGGTCACTTTTAAAAGTGGTCTTATTAAGCTATGTGATGAATAAAAGATAATTCAAGCACTTTACAATACAATCTGTCTGCTCATTGAAGTCCAAAATGGACTACACTACTAATGTTCTAATCAGTTTCTTTTCCACTTTAAAAAAAACTGTAGTTTGTTACTGATGGCTTACTCATAAGTTTTCTTTTATTGAATTCAATTTCCCAAGCATATCTTACTGAAAATCCAAAAATTATCATTTAGCACAAACACACAGCTGTGCATGTACATGTTTTAATGTACATATGTATTGAAATGCCCTCTGTAAGACACAACAGGTTTCATTTACTTACTTCTCTGGATGTTAATTCAAAACCATTGTCACTTTTAAAGGTCAAATCTCAACGGCTAGGTCTTACAAGTTTAAGTAAACTTTAAATGTGACTACCCAAATGCATAATGTAGAAATCAGTAAAGAAGTTTAGGCAGTGAATTTCAAATATTTTCATGAAGCTGTATACTTGTACACTGACTATAAATTGTTTGTAATTATGGGCAAATGATTGATGTAAGTTTGCATTAAAGGAAAATAATATATTTTTAGAGCTTATAAATAAAGATATTTTCTGTTTCTTGATGAATCAGAAATGGTTAATTTTTGTATTTACTTAGTGTTTCATAATGACTTTTTTCAGTGATTTTATTGAAAAGTTTTACGTACCTTTGAAGAAGAATAATCCTAGATTTCCCATTTTAATTCGTGAATGCAGTGGAGTTCAACCTAAAATCTATGCGAGATATGGTAAGTCCTGGGAAATACAACATGTTTGTTTTGATACTTTGGTTTACGTTTATGTTTTGCCACATTTTTTATACATCTGTAGCATTTTACTAATTCTACATGGAATTCTAAATTATAGTATCTCCAAACAAAAGATTTACAACAGAAAACACATTAGGCAATTTTATAAAGTGCCAGACTATTGTACTCTTAAGCATTAAAAATATAAGTAAGAGCAATATATACATATATAAGGTCTATAATTACTATTTTTAACAATTACATTTACTGAATAATGTTAGCTTTTCTCTGATAGAAATTTACAGTCTATAAACTTGACAATGAGGTGAATATATACAGGAATAAAAATGTATGTAGCTCTAGCAATATAGCCTTGAAATAATTTTTAGAAAATAAATACATTTTATTTATTTTAGCCACTTGAGTAAGGTTTTTGGAAATGAAAGAAAAACCACACAACCTTACGAAAAACACACATCATATATAGTTGTCGTGTATGCTGTTATTCGTACTAAATGTTGATTATTAAGTAAACATTGAAATGGAATATTAAACTACATATTTCTATCATTCTGGAAGAAAATACATCATAACATGATTATCTTAGATAATCCAAGTAATATTAAATTCTGAAATGATATGCGTACCTCTCTGAACACAGTAGTTCTTCCTCAAGCATCTGTCTTTTGAGCATACCACTAGCCTCAAGCTATCTTCCAACTAAGACGTGCCTTGTGAACTACACTAGTGCATGATGTAATCATCCTGTGACAATAGCCCTTCACCAATAGGGGGGCAACACATGTTCCATATACAATAGATCTCCATAAACACTTCCACTTCATTCTTATTGTTGTCACTATCATTACTAGACATGTTTCTTTAAGTTTAAACTTAACCAATTTTGTGGGATTTATACCACTTTTACATGGTTTTAATTATTTTTAGTTTTCTTTTAGTTTGTTTTAATTTCAATTTAAGGCTATGTCACCATTAACTAACTAAAAGAAAAAAGATCTGCTACAACAACCATGAATTCTGAAGTGATGGTAACTACTATCTCCTCCAAAGTTTCTGGTGATGTTGCTAACTACTTTGACTGTAGCCACTAGAGACTCATTGACTCTGGAAGGCATTACCACCATAATTCATCATGTCATGAGTTCTTTGTCTTTCTTGCCCCTTTACCTGTTGAGAAGAATGTTCCTTCTCTAAATCTCTTTGTGGATTTGGTTACTCAGGTCTGTTCTTTACTTTCTCCTATATCTTTTCATTCTTCCTATTTCTTACTACATGACTCTCATGCTGAGGATTATTTGGTTTTATCTTTCATCTCCAGGCATGAGAATCCATGTTGACACATTCCTGGATCATCTTTGTTTCCACTCTCAAATTCCTTATCCTCCTTGACTCTAGGTTTCTTTCACCACGATGTATGGCCATTCCCCTTTTCCATTCTTGAATTCCTAATACCCGGAGTCCTGCTTGGGAGACTGACCCATGTCTCCTATAACACTTTCTAGTACTCAGTTTTCTCATATTTGCATTTTTTTTACCCATCTCCTTTGTCATCTGTCCTCTCTTCATCTCCTAGCTGAAGCTCTACACTATGATCCTGACAGTTTTTATGGGGGTCTACAGTTGGTTTTTTCAATACCTTGGCCAGTGTTTCATCTTTTGCCTTGTCCCTGTTTACATGGTACTTCTGAGACAATGATGCTTTTCTTTCTGCTGTTTGTCTTCCACATTCTTACCTCTGTCTTGTTCCTTTTCTTCACCCTGAAGTCTTTGTGGGTGTTCCAAGTGCCTTAATGACTCAGGCTGATGCTGCCCAACACCAGTCCCCCCTTTCTCCTTGGTTTCTCATGTCTTGTTTCTCTACTGCTTATTGCTGTCATCCTTGTTCATCTGGGTGAGTTGGTCAAATTTTACAAGTTGTTCCTGACTCAAACTCAATACTTAGTCCTCCTTGGTGTCTTTCTTAATTCTCGAGTCAGTCTGTTGGAATGGGGCATCACCTTGACTCTTACCTTTTCAATATTTCGTGCATGTGAGGTTCTATCGCTTTTGGAGACTTGTATTTCTTGAGCATTTCTTCACTGGTGTTTTGTATTACTATATATTCATAAGTTTCTAAATTTTCTGTAGTTTTGTTTTATTGCTTATATATCTTGCACACCTATTTTATGATTATTTTTTATTAGATTGTTTTTACACAGTACATTTGTTCATTAGACTTCTCTAAAATACTTAAATCTGATAAAATATATCATATTGTTTAGTTCTTATTATATGTACTTGGTAGTTTTACTTAGATTTTACTGAATATTCTTGCCAGACCTGCATAAATTGTTTTTTATTGCATGCTGATTTATTATAAAATAACTTTGTTTTATTCTTTGTTAACAAGAGACTTCAATGTGTGAAAATGAAATGAAAGCCCACTTTTTTATATACATAAATAATATAAAGGCATGACAACTGTTGGTGTGTAATTTCAGAAACTGTTTGTTTATAATGAATTTAAAAACAAACACAAAAAAGTATCAACATTTGACTATTCAATTTCTAGGAAGATCCTCATGTGGCAGCTGAATATTTTTGTTCTTTTTATATCAGACATTCGTATCCTGAAATTGTTTATAAATATTTCTATTACAGAGCATGGAAAGGAAACCAGTGTATCACTTGCAGATATGAATGATAATCAAGTTTTTCAGACTTTGGAAAAGTTATCAACAAAATGAAAATGGTAAAGTGAAGATTTAAGTAAGATAATGAAAACACTGAAGATGTGAAGGTTTAAATTTTACAGAATTACTATGTAGTAACTACAAAACCAGAAAAAACAACAACTGTAAAATATATTAGAAGATGCTTTAGGCATCCCAGTTATGAGAGAGTATTATAGTATGTTGCAAATATAAATTAAATTTTGAAAATGCCTTTTGTTTTTTGTGTTCTTTTTCTTTTTTATCTAGAGAAGTTGCACACTCATTGTAAAAGTAGGTAGTGATTACTAGTAGTAACTGAATAGCCTGGGAAAAAGTGTTTCATTGTAAGCTATGGAAGTTACTCTTTAAGATTCATATACTAACTCTATTTCAATGGTTGTGATTGTGTTTTTTAAACTCATGCTTTCAAAAAATTTTCTTTCTCAACCTTAACACCTACTCTTTTTTTTTTTTTACATATTTTGTCAAAATTGTTATTTTCTAAAGTATCATTATTTCATATCAACTCGGTTAATATCCAAACAGTAACACATTACCTACAATACTACTGCTTAATACCCAAACACCATGCACATGCATAGTGTTATATGGGATACTGGATATCTATGAAGCTTTCCAATAAGTTTATACATTGTTGAATGTTTAGAAACAGTGAAAGATTTATTCACTTATTGGTCACCTGTTGCAACAGTATCATGCACAAGAAAACTAGAAAGTTTGTTTATGTAAAGCTTCTAAGACTACCTACTACTGTACCTAATTTTGAACTATTGACCACAGGAAAGGCAACTGGCCTTTACTGCCAACCCATGGGTTACTCTACCAATGAATAGTGCAGTTGGCTGTCACGTTATAATTCCCCCACAGGTTTTGATCTTGTAACCTGCAGATTGCAAGTCAACAGTCCTAACAATCAGGCTAAATCTAGAACATCTATTCAGATAATATACTATTACTATGTTAAAAACACTAACTTCTTCATGCTAGTTGCTATAATGTTTAATTTTTACAGTGATATGACACACATTACCTTTTTAAAATTTAGCTGGGTAGCACTGTAAACAAATTTTCTGTATTATTTTACATGACAGAGGAGAGACTTCCACTATAATTATCTAGTATTTTTGATCAATCAATGTTGACCATATAGTCCTAAAAGTAACCTAAATAAATTTCAATGAAAGTTTAAAAGTTTTAATTATTATAGGTCTACCTTACAAAGTTTGAAACTAATAGGGAATAAGTATGAAGAAAATCCACAGTCTAATCAGATAACAATAGTTTTATTGGGGTAACAACGTTTAGATTCTCTACTTAAGGGTATAGCCTAATGAAAGGCTCAGGTTATTTCTATTGACCAATTTGCTCTTTGTTGTTGAACTTCTGTGGCTTTTGGATTTCCCCTTCAAGGTTTTTTTTTATTATGAAGATGGTACTTGAAGCAGTGGAACATTCTTCATGTTGCATTATATAAACACTTGGTGATTTGAGCCAATAGGTTTATTACACCAGCATTCAGAAATGCTGTTACTTTTTTGTATTTTACTAAAATTTCCTGTATTTATAACAAAATTCTGTGCAACTGCAACCTCAGGTAGTTAAGCCTAGTGATCACTGATTATAAGCTGTTTTTTTATTGCTCTGTAAACTCTGCACCCAGAAAGAAATTGCAAGTAAGCCTTGTTGGATTCTTAGTTATTTTGGAGCAAACTAACTGTTTTTACTGACACTTGGGAAGAAGTTGGTGTTCAGAAAAATCTGTTAGGTTTCGGGAATTCTCATAGACGTTTGGGACAATTTAAATTATTTGAATGTCTACAATAAATTACCACATTTTTTAGTATTATTGTGAATCTTCTAATTAAAAGACAAATAAAATATTTACTATAAAGAATGTGATTGATTTTTGTAAACCATGGTTAATGTGTTTGAGCTGTGTCAAAAAAAAAAAATGCATTGATAATCCAGAAAGAAAAGTAGAACATAACCATAAAATATACAGAGATGTTGGATGTGTAGAAAATAAAAGCCAAAGTGCACAACCAAGGATTAATCTAAGTTTTTAAAGCTGTTCGTTACATATGTGTAAGAAAATTGCAGAGCTTGATAATAATTTCCCTGAAACTGGGTTCTAGATCACCTAGAGGGATCACTTGTTTTAATCAGTAGACACTAAAGTGATGTCTCATAAAGGATATTTAATATTGCAATTTGTACTGGCATGATGTCAGTAAAATATGAGCATGCCATGAATCATGAGAAGAATTTTGCACTCTGTAGGCTGCAACACAGCATGACATATGAACTTTTTTTTACTTTTACTTTTGGTTTTATTTATTATTGAAACAGAACATTCAGAGACCTTGCAGATGTACATCTAGTATAGATAATCATACAGAAAGACATTAGAAGAGTATGACCAAGAGTATATAACAAAGAATTTAAGAATCTGTGAATATAATGTGGGATGTGTTTGATGTGTAAATTTTAGGCTCACAGTTGGTCAAGTTGAAGAAACAGCAAATTTTGAATTAGCCACAGAATATAGAGGTGTGTTTGATAAATCTTCATCAATACAAAGACAAGTACAGTTGTCAAATTATCACAGTACAGGAAGATATGGATTTCAAACTAAAGATGCTAATAAACAACAGTGTGGAATAGTCACCTTTCATGTTTGGAAAAACTGAATTCCTTGATCTGTTTTAGCTAATATACATAATTAACTACATTGTATATGTGCATTCAACCACTTCAGAAGTCTTAAGATTTACTTAATCTTTTCCAGTCCTTACCTAGCAATAAATTCACAATAAATTTTACACACCTTTATACATACAGTAATAACTGTTATCTTTAAGCCTGATTTTTATCACTTATACATAATAATTTTAACACCTAGCAACTGTTGTAAAAGTATACATTTAATTGTGTTTTTTATTGTTTACAATCTTAGCATTGTTACAAAAGTATACACATTAGTTTGAATTCTTTGTTCTTCACTTGAAATAGTTTTAGTGTGTGTGTGTATAAAACTTAGATAGGTAATGGAATGACTTCCGTCACTAATACAGCTCAGTAATTTAATTAATTACATTAATTACTGTCACAAACTAATTGATTAATCAAAATTTATGTTTCTGAATACTACCGTTTTTGATTATTCCAACAGTTGATTAATCGAAATTATCATTAAATCGATTGTCATGAGAATAATTAATTAAAATTAGTATTTCTGATTATTATTTTTAATCATGCCAACTATCCAAATAATATTTAATAAATAATATTTCACTAAATAAGTGAAATATTGCTATTGTGATTGTTTGTTGTTAAGCACAAAGTTACATTATTGGCTATCTCTGCTTTACCTAATTTTAGTCTCATAAGTTGTATTGTTTTTTTTTAATTTAATTGTTTAATTTTTAATTGTTTGTTCAGCTTTGGTGATTTGGAGGTTGGACTTATTATTCAAGGGCCTCATATTTGTTTCCCATTGCCACCAAACTTGCTTGCCATGTCTTTGTTATGGCACAACTATTAAGGCTACCTGCTGCTGTCAATAATTTTGAACTGCTGGCTAGAATGAAGTTAACTGGCTGGCAAGTTTTCTCTATTTTTGAATTGTTGATTTAAAGGGAAAGCAGCCTTCTCTTAGCCCTTGGTGCCAACTTTTTTTCACTTGTTTGCTGTCTTATTGTGTACTTATTGATTAATTGAATCCAATCAATTAATGAGGCTGTCTGTTAATTGATAAGTAAATACCACTAATTGCCCAGCTCTACAGCCTCTATCTATAGGTAATGGACAAGCTTCAGTTTTTTTGCACTGTAATAACCATTCTTTTTAAACAGTGATGCATATTTGTCAATATCATGTTGTAGTCGTACATCATACATATTCTCCTACAACTAGAATAAACAAAGTGTTTGGTCACAGTTTTCTATGATGCTGTGCTTCATTATGTTCTTGATTGCGATTTTGGCATCAATTCCTGTGTTACTGTTGCCAGTATGGTGGCTAATCAGACCTCCTCCACCTCCATGACTTGATCCATTGTAAGATGGAGACATATAATCAGCCTGAGGGTATCTCTCCTGGGTGTTCTGAGACTGCTTTTCTTGATGATCCAGGACATTCTAGGGAGAATTTGGACTTGGTTTTTCCAGTGCCTTTCTTTGCTAGGTTGGCCTCTCACAAGGTAATTTTGGATCAATCACCTCCTGCTCCTTTTCTTCAATTATTCACTGGGTTTGTGAGATTTTGGAGCTTTTCCTGGGTGCTTTGAGTCTACTCCTTTCTTGATGGTAAAAATGTCTGGGGGGGGGCTATTTGTTTTTCCTCCTTCGTCTGATATTGCTGTTCATGCTGGCTGATTTACTGCTCTATTACTGATGGGATACATATCCCGTTGTACCCTCATTTGTCTGATTAGCATGCTTTGGCTTAGCACCTCCAGGTAGACGTATATTTTGATTCCAACGACTAAATCTGCTTTTGGATATGTGGGGTTTTAGACTGGACCCTGTGATCATTTTGAACAGATCACAAATTCTTGTATTTGTTTGACCTTCACTGAGATATTTTTCTCCCCCCCCCCCCCCAGAAAAAAACAAATTTTGTTGGAAGCCTATCAGTGGTCTCTACATCAATTTGGAAAGTTTTGACTTCTCAGTGGTATCTGGCTTTCTCCAATCGTTTAGAGTCCTTCTTCCCAAATGCCCTTTTCAATTACTTAACTGAGATATTGGGTTGTCTTACATGCTTTGTCTCAACATCTATTCGAGCCTTTAACCTCATGTACCATGTATTGCCTTTCCCTTCATGGGTAATTGTTGCTGCTGGCTTGTGAATGTTGTGGGTTGGAGTTATTTGTACTACATGTACACGGGACTCTTTATCACTCCACTTCAGTCCTGCTATACTATACTAGGTCTTTTCTTTCCAAGTCTCTAGCAGTCAGGAAAGGGGATAAATCCTTCTCAACATCCTTTTACCAGCTATTTCTCACCTGTACGACTGATCAGACACTGATCATTTGCTATGTCCTATCAGAACCCTGAGGCATTATGTGGCTTGCACTAACTCCTTTTGAGGTGATGTAACTTGACTCTTTATTCATTGGAATCCTTCAGTTTCCCCAGTTACTTTGAGGTGGCTTTGCAAATATCCATGTTGTTTATTCTGGACCTTCTTTACAGGCAAGGAAAC